CAAATGTTTTTGTACTAGTCATTGAGATGAGCACTTGGTTTTTCTTTTTTAAGCTCTTATGGTGATAAAAAAAAATTGCACAGGAAGATAAGTTACCTGGAAAAATGAGAGGGAGATTAACAGTGTTTCTCAGACTTTAATGTGATTACAAAATCACCTGGGGATCTTGTCAGAATACAAATTAGGATTCAGTAGGTCTAAGGTAGAGACCTTAGAATTTTGTACTTCTAATAAACTTCCAGGTAATGAAGTGCTGGGCATATGGTTCATGCTTTATGTAAGAAAGATACAAATAACTAAAATAAAGGATTTTTAATTGATCATCCATTTAGAAAATGCTCTCATGGGATTTGTCACAGCATGGCACTGCTGAGATGAGGAGAGAGATTGCTCTGTGGTGTCACCAACTGTTCAAAAAAAATGGTCCAACAGAGGTTAGGGGACATGGATGATGCATCTCCTCCCCCCCCACCCCGCCCCCATCTCATTCTTTTGCCCAGGCTGGAGTGCAGTGGCACAATCACGGCTCACCACGGCCTCAATCCCCTGGGTTCAGATGATCTGTCTACCTTAGCCTCCCAAGTAGCCAGGACTACAGGTATATGCCATCACGCCTGGCTAATTTTTTGTAGAGGTGGGATCTTGCTATGTTGCCCAGGCTTGTCTTGAATTCTTGGGATCAAGCAATCTGCACCCCTTGGTCTTCCAAAGTGCTGGGATTACAGGTATGAGCCACTGTGCTCAGCCAGTGATGCATCTTAACAATTCATATATTTTGGTGGAAAATACAGTTTTAAAGCACAGAATGCTATTTCTGTGGTGAATGTGTATTATATTAACATGCCATTTCTTAGTCCATACTGAAAGGTTGCAATTGGCTCAAGTTCTTGTTCTTCTCTTCTGCAACTATCTAAGATTCAGAAATAATCTCTACTAACTCAGAGATTGAGGCTGTCTTCTTGGCACAGAAATAATAATGTCTGACCTGTCATAGAAACAGATTATTTACATTGAACCATTTTGGAACTGGTAAAACAATTCCACTGTCCAATCTGTATTTTTATTTTATTTTATTTTTTGAGTTGGAGTCTCTCTGTTGCCCAGGCTGGAGTGCAGTGGCATTCTCAGGGCCACCACAGCTTCAACCTACCGGGTTTATGCGATCCTTCCGCCTCAGTCTTCCAAGTAACTGGAACCACAGGTGCACGCCACCATGCCCGGCTAATTTTTTTGATTTTTTTGAGGTCTCATCAAATTGCCCATGCTGGTCTCAAACCCCTGGGCTCAAGCAATCCTCCTGTTGCTGCCTCCCAAACTGCAGGGATTATAGGTGTGAGCCACCGTGCCTGGCCTGTATTGTTATTTTGATGGACAAAGAATTAAGTGCTCACTATCATGATTTACTTTGATATTTCATTTGTATGTTCCATCTCATAATTGAGTATGTAGATTTTTCTGGAATCCCTCTACATTTATGAATATTTTATTATTATCTTTTCAGACGGAGGCAACTTAGCTGGGTACAGAATTTTGGTCTATAGAAGCAGAAAACTACATGCTTCATATTTCATTTGTAAAAATTCTATATTTTTCTTTTTCAGTCTAAGTTTTAGTCCTACCAAGACTGGCTCTTCTTATTTTATGCTAACAATAGAACTTTCATGCACAGTCATTATATTGCAAGCTCTTCTATAATTAGAGGCTGTTTATTATAAACAAATATGGGTATAAAGTTGGGGAAAAGGACCTGTTATGAAAATGCAAAAGGAGAGAAATTCTAAACCATTAAGCCATTTAGAAGCAGCTTTAATGGAAAATTACAGGCAGAAAGAATTTACAAAAATGTCAGTCTCATTCTCCTGCCTGATATAATAACTTGTGGGAAAACTGATAACAGTCATCTTATTTTTGTTTTCTGGTACCACAAATATACTTTCTGTGTACAAATATATTTAGTTCATAAAAAAGAATCTTTTAAAATACCTAGACTCCAGAGGTTACTGTTCTGTTTTTATAGACTTTATTAATCACAGGAAAATCTGGATTGTTAAATTGGTTGCTTTGCTTCGTAATCAGGCACCTAGTTCAGTAATATTCAAATTATCAAAACCAATTTCTGATGCACACTCGTGTGAGCTCCATTAGCCAAGAAAGCCCTGAACATATCTTTTCTCCCTCTCTCCTCAAATAAAATCCAGTCAGCTGCAAGAGTAGTCATTTACACTGAGACGACGTGATGCCTGCCTGTCCCATAGGGCCATCCTCTTCCTCTAAGCCCATAGACTCTGCTGCTGCTCCTGGTACCTGAAGTCGCTTCAGAGTAGCTTTCTCCTTTGCCACTCTGCGGCACTGCCTGGCCTAAAATCCAATACTTCCCGGCACTAAGTTTTGGTGTTTGTCACTATTATGCCCTTTCCTAAAAAGCAGTATATCAGCTTCCTTCAATTCAAGGGGAAAAAAGCCCTTCTACTGTAGTTACCGACGTTTTCCCACTTCAACTTTTTCTGATCTCTTCCCGTGCTGTATCAGTGATCTCAACACAGGATCCCCATCAACTGCCCTCTGAGTGCTCGCCTCTATCACCTCAGCATTTCTAACATTCATGGAGCATTTATGCACCACATATTGGGAGAAGTCTGTTATGTGAATTATCCCATTCAAACCTCACAACCCTACAATATAAAATGGGCATTGCAATTTTCAGAAGAGGAAGCACTCTGTGCGATTTGTCTCCAGTGCTCTAAGTCTATTTCAGTTATTTTCAGTGTCTATTGAATTCTGCAGTTATAAATTCATTTACATTCTCTGATGTCATGATTTCTCTTCCTCTCCTTAGCTGCCAGCTGTCTTTTCATCTCATTCTGTTGTCTTACCTTGTTTCATTAAGTCCACATCTTATTCAATTCCTTGAGAGCAAAAAGCAATTTCAGAATAAAATTTTTTTGTCTCTAGATTAGTATTCCTAGATGTTCACTCCATTTATATTTTACAAGTTACATCCCTTTTAATGTTTTTGATATAAAATATTCTTTTGAGTAGATTTTTTTTTCTGGCTCACTCAGGCAGTTTTATGAGTTCCTTTCAACTGCTCAAAAAAACAAAACAAAACATGGGTTTGTTGATTTTCCCTGACTTCTGTCCATGTTGACCTGAGCACCTTCCAGTTAATTTCATAAGCACTTGACATAGAGAGCTGGATGTTCATTACACACATTCTCTGTACCACTACTCAGTTCCTTGGCAGGAGACAGAGGGTGAGAAGGGTGGTGCAGCTGGGGTATACTTGGCCTTGAAGCTCAGTTTCTGTGTTTTTCTCCAAATTTTTTAGACTACTGTGTCAGGCGTCAATTCAGCCAGCTAGGAAGCTTGAGTTGTTCTAAGAAGGGAAACTTGTCAGATATCAGAACATTCCTCTAACTCAGGGTGAACCAGCCACTCTGGCAAGAAATGAAATTAGCATGATAATCTTTAGTTCATCGTGGTCTTTTGTTTCATGGGTTGGCAGGTTTCTACTGGCTGCATAGTCACCTCTGGTCCACTTCAGTGAAGCAGGCTTGCTTACCTTTAGGCCTCATGTCTATTAGAAAACTTTTCACTAGAAAATGAATTTTCATTAGAAAACTGTCAGAAGAAAGAAGTCACGGTGGGGTGACTTCAGAGTTTGATGGCTGCTTCTTCAATCCTGTTGCCTGATGAGGTGGAGAAAACAGGCTCCAAATGATGGTTCCTGTCCTTCCCCCAACCCTCTCATACTTCATCTCTGGGTTCAAATACCAGAGGGCTCTTCAGTATGTCTTCCCATCTTCCAACTGCAACACTGCTGCATGCCCTGAGACCGGAGGGTACGGGGTTGGTCTAAACTGTTAAACACATTGGCTGACGTTTTGAATTTGGGGCAAAATTAGAGCCTTAGCATCAGTGTAGGTGACTCTAGTTTTAGGTTTTTGTTCACTTCTGTGTGTTTTGCCTGCTGTTTGTTTAAAGAGGGAATACAATGGAAAATTCACTGACTCACCTAGAAAAATCCTGAGTGTCAGGTTTACAGTAGAAATTTCTTTAAAAACAATCATTTTGGCCTTGCTAACGTCTTAAGCTCTGAGAAAATTCAAACATGTGAGCACCTATCATATGTAAGACACAAGAAGACAAAACTTATTTTCTGCCCCGGACATGACAGTTAGAAGGGGAAAGTAGACAAGTTCACCAGTGACCACAAAAGAGAAGCTCTTCAACAGAAAAACTTTCCATTCAGAAGATCGATAGCTACTGGCCAAAGTAAAAAGTCATCAAACTCTGCTGGTCACTAGTAGAATTACTTTGGACTTACGGTAAAAGGACAAACATGTAGCCTGTCAGAAGCCAGTGTGGTGATTGGCAGAGGGTGCCAGGGTCATAAGGGAAGGAACATCTCAATCTGTTAAGTTCTCCTCCTGCTAACCAGGAAGTTCAGACAAGTCATGCATGCTTAAAAACTTACAAGAGATCTGGGGATGAGGATGTTTCCCGCAGGACTGAACAAGGGATAACAGTTTAGAGAAGGAAGAAGGTACTCATGGAGACACCAAATCTGTTTATTTCATTAGTTCTGTTCTTTCAGGCTAGAAGAGCACAGATATTCAGATGTCACTCAACATCCTCTGACCACTCACACACAAAACATCAGAAAGTCCTCGACTCAGGTAGGAGGTGACAACACGGAGATTCAGCTTTTTAAAGAAACCTGGTTTCAACTCTGATCGGACGTGTCTCTTTGGCTCCACTGGGTTGGTGGCAGGTGGATCTATGCTCCTGAATCCTCTCCAGAAGCATTAAAATTCATTCATCGAGATGCTTCCCAATGTAAAGCCCTAGTGAAGGTGACTAGGGGGGCACTGATTAAGTGAAAATCTGCAGTCAGATTTGTTTATTAGAATGCTGGTAGTTGACTGTTCTATTATCAAATAAAACATTTTCACGTGAAATGACAGTTTGCTGTAATGAGTGGTAGGTGATTCACATACCTGTATTTTGACCACTTTCTCTTCTTGTTCATACAAAAATGATTTCCTAGCTTCAAACTCTTCCCTAAGAGCAGTTCCTGAGTTTGTGGCTTGAAAGCGAAGAAGCAAATCTTCTGAAGCAGACCATATACTCTCACGGATGTAATTTACTGTGACTTCCTCAATAACATCCTGGCAAGAGACATTTCTCATGGTTACACTTCACACATCAGGTGAAAGGAGCAAGAGAATCGCTTCTGGACATTTTATCTTTCAGAAAGTGATATGAATATCTCTTTTTGGCTTGGCTTAAGAACAGATTTAATCAGAGCCAAGGGATGATCTGGCTTAGCATCTTTCTAGTGACATGATTTTGGAATCCTCTGAGCTTGGTGCTGAAGAGACATGAGAACGGAATTAAATGACCTCAAAATTTTGGGGTGGAGATGCTGGCAAGGACCAGGAGTGAGGCCTGAGTGCCACAGATGGTCAAAGGGACAAGCATGGTAACTGGGAAGACACGCATCACCCTCTCCCTCCCTCGGGCCGCCAAGAAAAGACTAGAGTGCCCATGCGATCCTCAGGCCTGCCTTTCCTCGCTTCCCAGGCCAGAGCAGGCACCTGCAATGAGATGGGGGAAAATGCAAAGTGATGCTCTGGGGCAGGAAAAAAAGCATGGGGGAGGACAGGCAGACATGTTCTATCAAGGGCACACAGGGGGAAAGCTAAAGAATGAGAAAAAAGGAAGAAGGGCATTACTAGAAGGTTTTATGAAGGTTATAAACGGAGTTCACTTTTTTTTTTTTTGAGTTAGGGTCTCACACTCTGTTGCCCAGGCTGGACCTCCTGGGCTTAGGTGACCCTTCCATCCCAGCATCCTGAGTAGCTAGGACTACAGGTGCACGCCACCACACCCATCTGATGTGTATGTGTGTGTGTGTGTGTGTGTGTGTGTGTGTGTGTGTGTGTGTGTGTGTGTAGACAAGATTTCACTATGTTGCCCAGGCTGGTTCAAACTCCTGGTTGCCTGCCTCAGCCTCCCAAAGTGCTAGATTATAGGTGTGAGCCACCGCACCTGGCCCCTGGGTTTCTTTTATGCTCGTTGAGAGAGGCAAAGACTGGACTCACTTTTAGAGCTGGGGGGTCTTACCCAGTGCAACCGAGATCAATGGCTGGTTGGTTAACTTAAACAGTTAAAGGTGAAATCATACAAAAGATACATATATACCTTTAAGAGAAGACATATATATGTGAATTCATCGAGTAAAATCAGTAACTTCAGGTTGTTCAGAAGAAATATAATTTTTAATAGTGTTAGACCCTCAGCTATCTATAATTTTAATTGATTGATGCTCAATTGAAGAAAGTTATTCCTGGGGCATCTTTGAATACCACAAGGGCAATTTTCGATTCCAAAAATTAACTCTTTGATGTTGCTTCTTTATAGTTTGATATATCTTTTCAATCATGGCATATGGTTTTTTAGTATATCCATAATTTCATTTTCAAAAAATTTGCAATAACGATCTATTGCTATGATGTAATTTTACTAAGAACTGTAAGAACCCTGAACATTGGAAATTGGTTAATAAACTATATTCTTCACTATCTTCTTATTATTAAGAATTTTTGGTAGCACTGGCTACATTGTTTTCTAAGTCTTTTTTTTTTTTTTTTGAGTTGGGGTCTCACTCTGTTGCCCAGGCTGGAGTGCAGTGGCACACTCATGGCCACCCCAGCGTAGACCTGCTGGGCTCCAGCAATCCTTCTGCCTCAGCCTTCCAAGTAGCCAGAACTTCAAGCGTGTGCTACCACGCCCAGTTAATTTTTTGATTTATTGTAGTGATGAGGTCTTGCCAAGTTGCCTGGGCTAGTCTTGAACCCATGGGCTCAGGCAGTCCACTAGTCTCAGCCTCCCAAAGTGCTCTGTCCGACAAACAACAACAGATGCTGGTAAGGATGTGGAGAAAAAGGAATGCTTCTACACTGATGGTGGGAATGCAGACTAGTACAACCTCTTTGGAAGACAGTGTGACAATTTCTGAAAGAACTAGAAATTGACCTTCCATATGACCCAGCAATCCCCTATTGGGAATATACCTGGAGAAATTGATATTATTCTACAAAAAAGATACTTGCACACGTATGTTTATTGCAGCTCTATTTACAACAGCAAAAACATGGAACCAACTGTGTTGCCCATCGAAGCTAGATTGGATAAAAAAAATGTGGTACATACACACGATAGAATATTATGCAGCCATAAAGAAGGGCAAGACATATATATGGACTCTGCAGCAACTTGGATGGATTTGGAGTCGATCATACTCAGTGGTTTATCACAGAAACAAAGAACTGAGTTCCATATGTTCTCACTCATAAGTGGACCTTGAACAATTATAATGCTATGAGAAAGCAATTGGCAGTAGTGGAAAACTGTCGGGGGGGGGTGATGGGATTGGCACTTGAGGGAAACTGCTGGGGGAGGAAGGGGCATATCTCATCAACAAGGGTAACTGCAAGATCAGTGTTTATATACCTAACCCTGAATTGTACCTCACATCTTTATAATAAATAATAATAATAATAATAATAATAATAATAATAATAATAAACATACTACAATGTCTGAATCCACCAGCAATTTTCATTTCTTTTGGGTTCAACTTTTGGTTTTAAGTTCAAAGCAATTTTGGTGAACATTCCTTCAAGAGTATTCCTGGGAAGCACTACTTGCTTTTTAAAACCTACGTATCTTTGTGAGAATGAATCTATTTCGTATCAAATTCATTAACTTGTGTTATTAATTCCAGAGCAATGAGCACAGGATATAACCACTCAGAGATGCTGGTGGCTATGTCAAAAACAATGCAACAAGTGGAAATGAAACTAGACTAGAAATTGAGAACACTTCCTTTATTAATGAAATCTGTTCAAATTGCAGAATACAGGTTGCTTTCACCTACCCTGTGTCTCAATTTTCCCATCTAGAAAAATGTAAAATGAGAATATTTGCTCTATTCCACATCATAGTGATGTGAAAGTTGGTTGGATAGTGAAACTCTATACACATGAGGGGCACTTGGTTATGTTTATTGTTTCGGAAGACCTTTTTTGCCCTGCACATTCTCTGTGTATCTGTGGACACAACAGTTAGAAAGATTACTTTTGGCCATAACTCATTTCAGATATCTCATTACAAAGTTGATTCTAATTTCACATTCCTGTCTTTACTCCCTCCTATTTCTAATGGCTCTTCCACCAACCTCAAATAAAACAAAGAAGAATCTCATCAAGAAGGCCATTCTGGAAATTTCTACCTCCTACTTGTTTATAGCTAAGTATTCCCTTGTTTTGGGACATTTCAACCAACCATCTAGTTCTTTATTTCCATGTTGCAAGAACATAGATATTCAGATCTAATGAAGGCATAATCACAGAGAGGTTGCTCTATTGTTAAAGTGCTCCTCTCATTCCTCTACATAGGAAAGGAGAACTGAAAAGCAAATAAAATTAAATGATCTAGACCTGAAATTGTAAGGAGCTCTTTGGCCCTACTTTTCCTCATAGCTTTGCTTAAGTTGTTATCTTTTTAAAAATAAATACTTAGCTCTTGCCTCCTCTACCTATAAAAACTGCTGAATATTTGAGAGGAAATTAGGACTCAAATGGACAAGGCACACAGGAAATCAGTAGGTGCCCTGAGACTTAAGGCATTAGAACAAGAGTTTCCAATACAGGCTTTTCTAAATGGGTTTCTTCTTCCTGTATTTAACATATTAAATGTCCTAACAGCCAATAATGATGCAGCCTAAGTTCACTAAATCATTTATCTTTGCTCCTAATAAGAATTTGAATAGGCACTATCTATACAGTTTGGTTAAAAAGAGATGGAAGGCGGGATAAATTGCTTTTGATAACTAAAGTCTGGTAGAGGAAAGTCTTCAAATATGGATCAATGATTAGTTAAAAGCAAACTTCAGTGGTTAAATAAAAATTCGGACTCATGGTATCATGTTTCAACTCTTAGTACAATATATGGCTAATTTCAGTTAATCAAAAGTCAAGTATAAAATACACTCAATTGTGTTGTTTCTACTTACATTTGTATACAGGTATATTCAGCGCTCTAGGAAATAAGTTAAGCAATGAAAACATGCAAGATTACTATCTTAGAAGAAGCAAGTATTTAATGTTTACCTATCACGTTCTTTGCCCAACTCTAGCCTATGCTTCTGAAGCCATCCTGGAGATGGCTGGGATCATGTGCGGCAGAAATGCTATATCCAGCACTTTGTAGAAAAAATAACATTTTAAGTTGCAGGCTTGTGGGGGGGTGGGAGGAAGATGATACATTTTGAATACTGATAATCAAGGAATTATCACAAATTAAACCAGTGTCAGGGAAAACTGGAAGATTGATTTCTTAGGATAATCTACTATCCTAAATAAACTGCAAGTTTTCTTCCCCCTGCTTTAGTTGGTTTTGTTATGCCAATATGGAAAAAATTCTAAAAGTGAGTAACAATTCAGCCACATTAAACTTCAGTTCATGAAGACGTTTTTCCATATCCTGCTTTCAAATAAATTGATTTGCTCCTCTCATTACTTCCATGATTCAAAAATAGAAAACCAATCACATTTATCTTCATTCAGTATAGTTATCCATCAAACACCAACCTCCTACCTCAATTTCTTCTCCTGTGAGCCATGATTCTTTATGCAAGCATGATTCAGGTGTGACCCAGCAGCTCTCTTCTGAATCAATGTTGTAATAATAGTCATATTTCTCCTGGAGGTTGAATTTGAGCCATGAACCTTCATCAGACACTAAAGAAAAAAAATTGTTAAATTTTTACAGAGAAACAGTGAACTTAATAGGAATTAGTATAGTTTCTTCAATATAGAAAATAATCTAATAAATAGGTGTTTCACCAAACATTCAGATGGTCTAAGTTAAATGCATTAGAAATGACCCATTAACATGAACAAATTCAACGTATTCAATGGCAGATCCCTGCTAAGCCACAGAAAAAGAAGAGAGACAAATGCTTAATGTTAGCTCTGTGTCTCATATCTTTCGTGGGCAAGATAAGAGTAAAAAATAGCCAAAGATAAAGAAAAGCAAACAAGTGATATATGTCCCAGGTAGATGTGAACACCATCATACAAAGGAGACTACTTATTATATATGATAAAGGGATCACTCGACAAGACATAACAATTTAAAATATATATGCATCTAACACCAGATCCCCCAGCTTTATCAAACAAATTCTACTAGACTAAAAAAAGAGATACCAATACAATAATAGTGGTAAACCTCCCAACACACCACTGACAGCACGAGACAGATCATCAAGGCAGAAAATAAAAAAATAAACATTGAAATTAAACAGGATCCTAGAACAAATAGAACTAACAGACATCTACAGAACACTCTACCCCATAACTACAGAATATACCTTATTCTTATCAGCACATAGAACATTCTCCGAGAGAGACCATATGATAGGTCACAAATCAAGTCTCAATAAATTTTAAAAAATCAAAACAATATCAAGCATCTTCTCAGACCACAGTGGAATAAAACTAAAAATTAACTTCAAGAAGAGCTTGAGAAACCAAACAAAAACATAAAAGTTAAACAATCTGTTCCTGAATGATCCTTGGGTCAACAATGAAGTCAAGATGGAAATTTAAAAATTTCTCAAAATGAATGACTACAATGAAGCAAGTTATCAAAACCTCTGAGACACAGCCAAAGCTATAGTCAGAGGAAAGTTTATAGTGCATAAGGTCTACATTAGTAAGACTGAAAGACTGCATATCAACAAGCTAACATCACACCTCAAGGAACTAGAAAAACATGAACAAACCAAACCCAAAGCTAGCAGAAGAAAAGAAATAATGAAGAGCACAGCAGAACTAAATGAAATTGAAATAAAAAAATTACAGAGGATCAATAAAACAAAAAGTTGGTTCTTTGAAAAGACAAATAAAATTAATAGACCACTAGCTAGATTAAGAAATGGAGAAGATTCAAACTAGCTCAATCAGAAATGATAATGGAGACATTACAACTGATACAGCAGACATACAAAAGATTTTCTGAGATTATTATCAACATCTCTACGCAAACTAAACAATCTAGAGAAAATGGATAAATTCTTGGAAACATACAACTCTCCAATCTTCAATCAGGAAGAAACAGAAACTCTGAACAGACTAATAATGAGCACTGAGAAGGAAACAGTAACTAAAAGTCTACCAACAACAATAAAAAAAGTCCAGGATCTGATGAACTCACAGCCAAATTCTACCAGACTTTCAAAGAAGAACTGGCATAAATTTTACTGAAGCTATTCCACAGGCCAAAGAGGAGGGAATTCTCCCAACTCATTCTATGAAGTCAATATCACTCTGATACCAAAGCCAGGAAAAGACATAGCAAAAAAAGGCAACTGTAGACCAATATCCCTGATGAACATAGATGTAAAAATCCTCAACAAAATATCAGCAAACCAATTTCAACAGAACATAAAAAAAGTAATCCACCATGATCAAATGGGCTTTATTCCAAGGATGCAAGGATGGTTCAATATATGCAAGTCACTAAATATGATCCACCACATAAATAGAATTAAAAATGAAAATCATATGATCATTTCAATAGATGCAGAAAATGTGTTTGATAAAAATCAACATTGTGACGTATTATAACGCTATAAGAAAGTGATTGGCAGTAGTGGAAAACTGTCAGGGGAGGAGGGGTGGGATTGGCAGTTGAGGGAAACTGCTAGGGGAGGGAGGGGCATACCTCATCAACAAGGGTACCTGCATGATTAGTGTTTATATACCTAACCCTGAATTGTACCCCACATCTTTATAATAAATAAATTAATTAAATTTAAAAAAAATCAACATTGCTTCATAACAAAACGCTCAGTAAAATAGGCATAGAGGGAGTATTCCTCAAAATAATAAAAGTCACAAACAACAAAACCACTTTCAATGCCATCCTGAATGGAGAAAAGTTGAATGCATTCCTCCTCAGAACTGGACAAGGCAAGGATGTTCACTTTCACCACTCCCATTCCACATAGTACTGAAAGCCCTAGTCAGAGCAATCAGGCAACAGAAAAAAATACAGAGTATCTAAATTGGAAGACAAGAAATTGAATTACCTCTGTAAGCTGAAGATATATGATCTTATACATAGAGAACCCTAAAGACTCCTCCAAAAGACTCCTGAACTTGATAAATGAATTCAGTAAAGTTTCAGGATATAAAATCAACACACACAAATCAGTGGAATTGCTATATACCAATAGCGACCAAGTTGAGAATCAAACCAAGAGCTCAATTCCATTTACATTAGCAGTCAACAAGCTAAAATACCTAGTTAACCAAGGAGGTAAAAGACCTCTACAAAGAAAGCTACAAAATACTGATGAAAGAAATTGTAGAGGTCACAGATGGCTACACATACCATCTTCACAGATTAGAAGAATCAACATTGTTAAAACGACCATATTACCAAAAGTAATCTACAGATTTAATGCAAACCATGTCAAACTACCAATGTCACCTTTCACAGAATTAGGAAAAAAAATCCTAAAATTCATACAGAACCAAAAAAGAGCCAGAATAGCTAAAGCAATCCTCAGCAAAAAGAACAAAGCTGGAGGCATCACATTATCTGACTTTATATTATCCTACAAGGCTTTATATTATCTCAAAAAAAGATAGGTAAATGGCCAACACAACATGCTAAAAAATTCTCAACATTACTCATCATCAGGGAAATGCAAATTAAACCAAAATAGCACAGTACTGGTAAGAGCAGATGTATGGATCAATGAACTAGAATAGAGAATCTAGAAATAAACCCAAATACCTACCACAAAATTATTTTTGACAAAGCAGACGAAAACATACACTGGTGCTGGGAAAACTGAATAGCTACATGCAGAAAAATAAAACTGATGCCTATCTCTCACCATATACAAAAATTAGAACTCAAGATAGATTACATACTTAAATATCAGACCTGAAACCATAAAAATATTAGAAGAAACCCTAGGAAAAATTCTTCTGAACATTAGCCTATGCAATAAATTTGTGGCTAAAACTCCAAAAGCAAATGCAACAATGGCAAAAATAAGTGGGACTTAACTAAACTAAAAGTTCCTATACAGCAAAAGAAATAACCAATAGAGGAAATAGACAACCTACAGACTGGGAGAATGGGAGAAGTTATTTGTAAACTATGCATCTGAAAAAGGACTAATACCCAGAATCTACAAAGATATCAAACAAATCAGCAAGAAAAAAGCAAACGACCCATTAAAAAGTAGGTAAGTGACATAAACAGACATCTCTCAAAAAAAAAAAAAAAAGATATGCAAATGGCCAACACAGCATGCTAAAAAATTCTATTAGGAAATGCAAATTAAACCACAATGAGATACCACCTGATACCCTTCAGAATGACCATCATTAAAAAAATAAAAATAAAAAATAGATGCTCGTTTGTATGCAGTGAATAGGGAATGCCTATACGCTGTTGGTGGGAGTGTAAATTAGTACAACCTTTATGGAAATTGCTACACAAATTTCTCAAAGAACTAAATGTAGATCTACCATTTGATCCAGTAATCCCACTACTAGGTAGCTACCTAAGGGAACAGAGCTTGTTATAATAACAAAGACACCTGCACCCACATGTTTATCACAGCACAGTTCACAATGACAAAGATGTGGAATTAACCTAAATGCCAATCAACTGATCAGTGGATAATGAAAATGTGGAATACTATTCAGCCATCAAAAAGACTGAAATAATATCTTTTGCAGCAACTTGGATGGAATTGGAGAAAATCATCCGAAGTGAACTAACACAGGAACAAAAAACCCAACACTGCACGTTCTCTTATAAGTGGGAGATAAACTTAGGATCTGCCAAGGCATAGAGAATGGTATAATGACATTGGAGACTCGGAAGGGGGAGGGAGGGAAGAGGCAGAGGGATGAAAAATCTCCTAGCAAGTACAATATGCACAGGTGGGAGTGTTGGGTACACTTAAAGTTCAGACTTCTTCACCAATATACAATGCAACCACGTAACCAAAAACTCTTTGAACCCCCCAAAAGCTATTGAAATAAAGAAAAAAAATTTAAAAGACTGAATTAAAAGGAAAGACATTCCACCATGTACATGGATCAGAGGATAACACTGTTGTGATAGCAAGACTCCTCAAATTGATCTACAGACTCAGAGTATCAGCCTACAAAATTCCCAGCGTTTTCCAGAAGAATAAATTGGATACCAAGGGATATTTTGACTGCTCACCAAAACATGGTACCTGGGAAGAGGAGTAGGGAAGTTTAGGAGGCAGAAGATAAACTAAGTTTGGGCTAGAATGGATTTGACATTTTGATGACTTGTCTAGGAGCTCAACATCTGCATTAATAATAAAGTCATGTAATTCTTTTCCAACTAAGGATAAGAAAGGGGACACTACAGTAATTCCTTATGAAGAGATCTGAATGGAGCAGAGAAGGGCTCAAAGGGGATCAGATGCTAAGTAAGAGAGAGTGGTCACTTTAATAATGTTAACAGAAAATTTGCTGAATTGGAGGGCAAAATCTTCAAGTTGGAAATATATCAAACCTAAAAGTAACTAACTTTACATAGGGTACTACTAGAGAGACTTTCAATTAAATTAAAAAAATTGTTTCCCCCTCTAAGTTCTACTTGTAAGGTATACTGTAGAATTTCATACTGTAGTATTTCTTAAAGATGAATAGTATTATATAAATGACTTGCAACATGGTATAAATAAAGACAGGTCTAGAAGTTGAGAGACACCTTGATCCCTGACACTAGGACAGAGTAAGTGCTCAAAACAAAAACTAAAACTAAAGGAATCTGATTAAAAATTAATTGTCCTCAGATCTATCATTTTCTCTATCTGAAATCTTACCAATGTGAGTTTCCAAATCTGAAAAAATGAGAATTAAGCTGCACGATCTCAAAGACACTTTCCAGAGCTAACAGTCTATGGTCTGCATTGAATTGAGCAGGTATAACTATTTGCCACAAGGTCTGCCAATTGACCCTTTGCAGAACAGTTCACTGTATTTTATTCCATATATTCAAAATTATTCTTTACTACTACTTAATATTGTATAATTATGTATCATTTGTTCAACAAGTGATTAAGTGAGAGAAATATTAGTGTAAAAACCTGTTTATACCACTGGAAAAATGTATCAATAAGCATGACTCATAGAAGGCAAAGTCTCCTCAAAGACAATATTTTCTCAATTCTGTGATGCCACCCATGTATTGTCACTGATTCATCACAGCTTTCCAAAAAAAAAAAAAAAAAATCTAAAATATTTTCTTTGCCAGAGAAAAAAAAATTCAGAAATACAATACTTGTCCTAAAATTAATAAAATACAGTACCACAGAAACCATAATATTTTAAATATTTAGTTTGTGCTAAGTAACAAAACACTTACCTCTTTCAGATTTGAGTTCTTTTGCCTTTACAAGGGCATCGTAGTACCTGTCAGCACATTCAGGGATTATGTTATTTGCATTGTGAGTAGAAGACTTCAATACAGATAAAGCATCACTTGACTTTTTTCTTTCCAAGCATTGATTAACATCAACAACTAGTGTAACCCCTGGATAATAAAAAAAAATTTATCATTAATGGTTATCATCTACTTACTCGAAAGGCATGCAAATATATAATTCAACCCTTTAGTTTATAAAAGCCACGATATGTCCTTGTGACTCTTGTGTAGTATTAAGCACTAGGTTGTGCTTGCCATCGTAGTCTATGAGATGGGGTGAGCGTACACCAACAGTAGATATGCAGCTCTGACCTTGGTCATTAATATGTATTTAAGAACCAGCTCTACAAAGACATTTATTTATTTTAGGATGATCAAAATGCTTTTTGCTCATGGAAATCTGTGTATTCTCTTATATTGTGCTATTATACTTAGCAAGAGTGTCAAAAATAACCTAAACAAGTGTTTCTTAAAGGCACAGCTAGTCGGTATGTGCAATGGTATCCAGAAACTTAATTTTGAACTAATTTAGACCAACAAGCATTTTATCCTGTTGAAAATTTCTACATTTCCCCACGAACAGAATCATATTAAACTCTTGGTTGCCTAAGGGCAGTTAAGTTAGTGAATTCTTTATTAGCCACTTTAGTTCCAGGTAAGAATGTTCTCGATTAACCAATGGAACCAGTGTTTTTCACAACCTGTAAGTGCACTGAGTTAGAAATATAGAACAAAAAAACAGAAGAAGCCAGGTTAAGATAGCTCCTAGATGTAAAAAGGTTTTGATGAAAAGAGAAAAGTGATGAGTATTTTTTCTTACACACACATTATACTCTACCACACAGTGTTACATTACATACTGTTATCAAATCACGTTCACATGTACATAAGCACTAAAGGGCTGAGGGAACAAGAAAAATAGCTTGACTTGAAACAGTCTGGAGTCTAAGTCATGCAAATCGGGAGGAACACACAGAGACCAGATGGTCGCTTCGATGGTTGCTGAACAAAAGGTAGAGTGGTATGTTTCTGTGCTCATACAGGGTAACAGGAAATGGGTGAACCATCCCCCTTTTCTCTTCCCCAAGAAAGCTTTGTAGGATGAGGAAAATGGAGTCCTGGCATTTGAGAAGTTTATGGTCTGAGAAATGTGGAAGGAACAAGTCAATGACAAAGCACTGTCACATGAATGACATGTGATAGCCTCATCTAACTAAGCCAATCAAATGTGACTTCCTGTTAAAGAGGATATTGCAGAAAGCACACATTTCCTGCATGTATTAATCCCATTGAGTACTGAAGTGCAAGGAGCAGGGTCACAGGTCAATTTCCAGAGCAGGAAATAAATGACGCTCATGACTTTACCTACTTACTCTCTTCTTTTTTGGGGCGGGTGTTGTAGTCTCACTGTCACCCAGGCTGAAGTGCAGAGGCATGCTCATGGCCACCCCAGCATGGACCTGATGGGCTCTGGTGTTCCTTCTGCCTCAGCCTTCCAAGTAGCCAGAACTACAGGTGTGAACTACCAGGCCTGGATAATTTTTTGATTTATTGTAGAGAAGAGGTCTCACCATGTTGCCCAGGCTGATCTCGAACCCATGGGCTTAGGCAATCCTCTCACTTCGGCCTCCCAAAGTGCTGGGATTACAGGCGTGAGCCACTGTGCCCAGCCCTTACTCTCTTCTTAATAGAATATTAAAAAAAAAAAAAAGAGCCGGGCTCAGTGGCTCAGCCTGTAATTCTGTGCCTTTGGGAGGCTGAGGTGAGTGGATTGCCTAAGCCTGTGGGTACGAGACCCACCTGGGCAGCAAGACCTCATCTCTACAATAAGTCAAAAAATCAGCCGGGTGTGGTAGCGCATGCCTGTAATTCCGGTTACTTGGAAGGCTGAGGCGGAAGGATGGCTGGAGCCCAGCAGGTCGAGGTTGTGGTGGCCAGGAGCGGCCACTGCACTCCAGTCTGAGCGACAGAGTGAGATTCCAACTCAAAAAAAAAAAAAAAAAGATATTTTGACTCCCTCCCTTACATATGACTTTCTAAAACATGCCTTAGAGAAAACTCTTACCTGGAACTCTCTAAAACATGCCTTACAGAAAACTCTAATAGAGCAGTTGCTGTCTAGCTCCTTAGTTTACCCACAGTCTCTGGTACATAGTAGGTGCCTAATGTTTGCTGAGAGCTGCCAGAAGAGTCCTCCTTGTCATTAAATTTGTGCTGTGCTATAATACAGTGGGTGATGCTCTCAAGGACCACAGAGGTGTTTGGGCGTATTTGCTTCTGTACTGATGGTATCTAACCCCTGTGCTTTTTAGTTTTTCCCTCTTCACTGCCAGTTTTCACTTTTTACTTACATCTGTGTGCCTGCCTGTGGCAGCCCACATACTTTCCCACCTTGTGATTTGTGGTTTCTGATGTGCTCTGAGCTAGAAGAAAAAGAACTGAAGATATGAGAGCTATGCCTAAGAAAAGAATCAACAGGCTGCAAGTGGTCAGCTGTGGGGTCCCCAGGGAATAAACTAGAGCAGCTTCAAATCAGGCTTTGAGACATCTACTTTGCTTACTTTCTTTTTGCTTAATCTGTGGGTTGTGGTTAAATTCCAGATAGTTCAAGGTGTCAGATAAATGATCTCCAGAAAATCACACATGTTTCTGCTAGGGAACAATTTAACAAACCTCCCATAAATCTCCCAAGAGATCCAAAAAACGTTCACTTTACATCTTAAGTCATATACCAGCAGAGTTTCTTTTGAGATGTGTATTCTCAGTGGAGACGATATAACCCTAAATAGGCAAAAATTGGCCCTTGTAAGGAAGGGAGTCAAAATATCTTTTTTTTTTTTTTTTTTTAAAGAAAATATAGTTTATTTAGAAAGTCAAGTAGAAAGAGAGAAAGAAAGAGGAGAGTCACCTCCCCAAGGTAGGGAAGGGGGCCAAAGCTTAAGAAAACATGGCCTGGCCGTAGCTCAAAGAGCATGTGGCCACACCATAGATTAGCAAGGCAATGGCGGTGATGGTCTGGCAATAGCCCCAAAAATCTTTTTATACAGCACAGGCCTACATATGGTACACAAGCAGTCATACAGTATATATGTAGCACGAACATTTCATGGTAAGGAGTAATTAGAAAAAAATGTCTGGAAAGAAGGAGAGTGCAATAATGAAAAAAAGAAGGCTAAAAAACACTGCTCTAGGGAGGCAAAAGCAGAGGCAAACTTACTTTAAGTGAGACTCTAGCGAAAGTGAACTCTGGGCCAAAATGAAGGAGACTTGAGTACTCTGCCCTTTTCAATCTTGCTTGTGGTAAAATACATGGGTCAACACATCTTTTATCAGATTATCTGAGAGTGTGTTTAATGCTTACAGCATGTGACTACAATCTGTTTCAAATCTTCATGCAGAGAATGAAGAACACTTTTTTTGTTTTGTCTTGTTTTGAGTAGGGGCCTTACTCTGTCACCCCCAGGCTGGAGTGCAGTGGCACAATCATGGTTCATCGCAGCCTCAACCTCCTGGGCTCAAGCAATCCTTCATGCTCAGCCTCCTGAGTAGCTGGGACTACAGTGATACATGCTACCATGTCTGGCTTAATTTTTTATGTTTTGTAGGGATAAGTTCTTGTTATGTTGCCCAGGCTGGTCTCAAACACCTGAACTCAAGCAGTCCTCCCACTCTGGCCTCTCAAAATATTAGGATTACAAGCATGAACCACTGCAACTGGCCAGAGAATGCTTTTAAAACATAAGATTAGATTCCTGTTGAAAATGGAAAATTCTCATCTCAGTGTCAGAATATAGAGGGTTTTAACTTCGGAAAATCTATTTTGTTGTTCTATGTTGTAGAAGAAAGTATATTAACTCTTCTGAGGGCCAGAACAGAGGGATAAGGGAGAATTTTAGATGTGCAAACATAAAACACACACAAAATCACACATTTGGAAAAACCTCTTACTTTTTAGTCAATAGAACCATGAGTCTCTATGTGAAAAACAGAATCAACTTAACATTTGAAGGCCAAATGTAAGAACAACAACTACATGAAAATTTTTAAAAACCCTAATTGTTTGATCTCTAAGAGGAACATCATGACCATTTTAGGTCATTTAAATATCTACATTACAATCTAATTTCTTTTTTTTTTTTTTTTGAGTTGGAGTCTCACTCTGTCACCCAGACTGGAGTGCAGTGGCCGCTCCCGGCCACCACAGCCTCGACCTGCTGGGGCTCCGGCGATCCTTCCACCTCAGCCTTCCAAGTAGCTGGAACTACAGGCGCGCGCTACCACACCTGGCTAATTTTTTTGATTTATTGTAGAGAAGAGGTCTCACCAAGTTTCCCAGGCAGGTCTCGAACCCGCGGGCTCAGGCAATCCACTCACCTCAGCCTCCCAAGGCACAGGATTATAGGCTGAGCCACCGAGTCTGGCTACAATCTAATTTCTTAAAAGCATCTCTTCAGGCTATGGCTACCTTCAATTTTATGTTTAGATTATTATCTCTTATGTAGGCACCTAAACCTTATTATTATTTTTTTGTAAGGAGTGGAGTACAGAAAGGAAAGACTTCAAAGTCCCTAAGGGTATAAATGTTCAGACTAGAGAGATACACATATTTTTCGAAGCTACAGAAATAAAAGCCAGATGTTTCTGACAGATGCTTCCAAAGTTTAAAAGCACATCTGTAGAGAAAGACTAAGGCATCTTAGAGCAGTCCATGGCTTGATACAACAAAACAGATTTTTTTTTTTTTGAGTTGGAGTCTCACTCTGTCACCGAGGCTGGAGTGCAGGGGCACACTCACAGCCACCCCAGTGACGAATTGCTAGGCTCCAGAGATCCTTCCACCTCAGGCTTCCAAGTAGCCAAAACTACAGACGTGCGCTGCCATGCCTGGCTAATTTTCGATTTATTGTAGAGATGAGGTCTCGCCAAGTTGCCTGGGCTGGTCTCGAACCCGCAGGTTCAGGCAATCCACTTGCCTCGGCCTCCCAAAGTGCTGGGATTACAGTCTGAGTCATCGAGCCCGTTCACGAAACAGACTCTAATCATGCCATGAATTGGCAGGTTAATGAGCTATACCTTCGTAAATCATATTTTAGTTTATATAGGGAATTCATATATGGAGAGAGTATATCAATTTAGAAGCCATTTCAGATTGTCATGTGAATTTTCATACTATTCCTCCTTTAAAAATAGAGGACTGAAATAAAACAGAAAATGTCATTTGAATCAATGCAGGGATTCTGCTAGTTGCTGATTATGCCTATTCCAACTCCTGCTCCAGAACCACAGGATGGGTTTGCAGACCCACTGTGCAATGGACCTGAGCTAAAACTCCAGTGATACTTGACCTCCATAAGTTCCCTCCTCTGACTGGTGGACCACAGTGATGTTTTGGTCTCCTGGAATGAGCATCAGTGCAGAGGCAGTGCTCAGTAATCTTCCCAAAGTCTGAGTCAGTCCTTTTCTCCATGCATGGTCACCCTGTTAATACCCTCTCCAGGTCCCTCTGGAGAAAAGCTGAGAGAAAGAGTACAGCAAAGATTTTTGGTAGTGTAGCAGAGTACTTCCTCAAGGGGACTGGCCTCCCCTTTACTGGAGGGATTCTGGTTTTGTAAATTGGCTCCAGTCTGGAAATTGATTGCAGGATTGTGGCTCTTTGTTTTTTATGATTCAAGTTGGAGTTCTGTTTACTTGACCTAGAACTTGTCCACTTGTATATTAAGTTAGAATTTAGTAGAATATCAGTCTATTTCACTTCTAGGAGCACCATTAGCCAACTACATAGGTCTTCTAGTGGCTCAGTTTCTCTGGAAAAACCCTGACTAATAACAATGAAGGGCATGGAAAGGAGAAAAAGGCATTCATTAAGCAGAAGTGTGCTAGTTTTCTAAGGATTAAGAGAAAAAAGGATTTGATTCCATTATCAAAGTTGAGAGTTTAAGAAGCATTTTTTACTTTCTGGATTTTTGTTCAGCAACAGTGTCTAATTTTGTTAAAGATAGTGTCTAATCACTGAAAATAGGGCAACGAACTTTAGGATAAGTAGGCATCCAAGAACAAAAGCTTGGTAAGACAGTCCAAAAGTTCTACGACTTCAGGCACAGGCCCAGATACAAGCAAGGCAAGTTTCAAGAGCAAAAACAGGCGAGGGCTTACATTGCTTTGCTGTGTCCTTGTCCATGTTGGCTTCATCAACAGCCTGCTGTATCTCATCCAGCCAGAGAACTTTAGAAGCACTGTCAGGGTTCTGGGAACAATGGCACAAAATAAAACAAAGAAGAGTGAATGATGAGGAAACCGAATTAATAACTGCTTTCAGAAGCCATTTCATTATAATTTCTATAAATTCTTAATCAGCTACTACCAAATACAATACAAGCTACTGAGACAGACCCCATCTAACTGCTTCTCCCTTCTTCCTTGCTACCCTTTATCCCAGCCTACCACCTCCTCCCACCTGGACAGCTGCATTGGTCTCCTGCTGGCTTCTCCTGCCTCTAAGCATGCTCTCTACCACAGTGGTCCTCTACGGAAATCCAGACGATGATCTCTTCAAACGGACATCTCAGTACACCGGTCCTCTGCTTAAACTCTCCCAAGTTGTCCTCTTCTCATAGGCAGTGGGACTTCAATCGTGTGCCCCTAAGTACCACCTGTGCCTCACCTCATATTCCTCCGCTTCCCTTTCCCTCTTCCAGAACTTCACACCAGCCTCCTTCAGACCACAACATTCTACCCTTGCTATATGGCTGCTGGTTTTTTCATATCATTCAGGCCTCAACTCAAATGCTACCTACTCCAAAAAAGTCTGCCCTGGCTAACCTAGTCAAATACTCTCTCCCTCAAAGCCACGCAACAAGTATGGTTCTCAAACTGTGCCAAGATGCTCCAGAGTACCATGGGATATTTTAAATTTGAGGAAAACACAGTGATACCTGACATTTATCAGACAAATATAATAACAAAGGAAAACATGGTGACTGCTCGTCAGGAGCAAGCAGTCTAGTGTAAGAGACAGATGTGTCAAGAAATAATTATAATGCAATGTGATCAGGACAATATCAGCTGTAGATATATGATCTCAAAATAGGCAAGAAAGGACTAACCTAAGGCAGGAGGGTTGAGTTGCAGAGGAGAAAAGACTAAGTAGTTAAGGATAACTTCAGAAAGGGAGTGATAACAGCAATGAAAATGTACTGAATTACCTTTATTACTTTACCTTTGGGTTGATGCTGATGATCCTGCTACAAATGAAGTTCTGGCATATATGAAATGGGACTTTCAGATAGCAACTGCATTTTAGAAACACTTGCCCAGGATTGCAAGTAAATTTTGTTATCAGTAGAAATATTTTCAAGAAAGATGTGACATTCCAATTAAAACACAGGAACATTTTACCCACGTATACGATAAATGTTGTGTTCTAAATCCCAAGTCAAGACTACGATGAATGAGAGGTAAGGACTCCGCACTGGTGCCATGGAGAATTCACTTCATCAGTTAAGATGGCTGGGGCAGGAAGAAGTACCATCCACCAACTCTCTTGCAAGCTTCTAAGCCTATTTTCCTCAGAGACTAATATGAGATAATGCATGTGGAAGGGCTCTGAAAATGAGATAAAATATCTGTTGTTTCATCCTGTAGCATCTGGATGGGCTAAGAGAGGCCTCTGGAAAAGGCTTAGTGCCTGCTTCCTCAATCATCTCCAGCTGCATGGCAAGCCACAAGGAAACCACCGGCTGTCAGGAAGATTTTCTACTTCTTTCGAAAATAGACGGGGAGATTCAAACAGCAAGCAAGACAAAAAGGGGACTACTAGAGGAGGAATAAAGAGAGGGAAGCAGGAACTATTTTTTCTCTATTTCCAAGCCCTGAGAGAACCAATACTCCCCAGGTAACTGAGCTCCGTAAGATTCATTTATACCTGTCTCAGTTTTTTGGAAGGATCTTTACCTTTCTTCGTAACTTATCACTGTAGAAAATGCACCACCCAGACTTTTACCCAGATGAGAAGGCAACTGCAACCCCACTTCAAAGCTGAAACTGTCAGTCTTATTAGCCAAACTAGAGACTTTGTAAATCAAATGCATTTAAGTCAACAGTTTAAATTACAACACATCTAACCTAAAGGCTGCTAGAGTTAAACACAAAATCAAAAGTAAAAACTGAATCCTATGGATGTAATAAAGTCTTTTTAACTGTTCACCAGAAGTTTGGACATAATACTGTATTTATGGATGACCTTGCCTCCACTTCAGCTAAACAACCAGGTTCAACTTAAGAGTTACAAATGGATTACATGACCAGAAACTAGGCCATGTGCAAAATCACAAATTCCTGCATTTAGATGATACACAGAAAAGTTTTAATTACACAAAAAATAACTTCTTAGAACTTTGTGGGCTTTAAAATTATTTCTGCAATACTTATGTAACTACATATTAAGTAGTTGAAGTATTAAACACTGATGTTTGATTGTAAAAATTTTGGTCTGGTGAAATTTAATCAAGATGTGAAAAGTTTCAACATATCAATTCCTTCCTAGGTTACCCCTCAACCTTCAAAGCTCGTGTGAAATTTGCATTTCCTGATTCTTGCTGCATTTTACAGGCAGCAGGTTATTAGGGTCTCTGGCTTCTTACATTTTGTCAGTTATAAGAAAATCTATGATGATATAGCTTTCTTTTTAAAACTGTACATTAAATATTTTCCAGAATATAACTCATAAAAACTTATATGATGTATAACAATATGAATGTACTTAACACCGCTGAACTGTTTACCTAAATAATGGTAAATTTTATGTTATGTATGTTTTACCACAATTAAAAAAAAAATCTTACTGTAGACCTGCTCACCACCACTTATGAAATAAGGGAGTCCTCTGTATTTCAATACTGTATTATGATTTTAGTTAAATCAAATGTGTTGGTCAGGAGGTCCCCCAGTTATCTGACCCTGACCCTACAGAGTACTGAATAGCTTAAAACACATTGTGTAACAACAAAAAACCAAAACAAACCCCAGAAAAACCAAAAACAACAACAACAAAAAATCCCATACACACCAAACCAAACCCACAAAAAAACCCCCACTTCCAGTCCCTTCAAGAAACAACCATAAAATCAAGTTCTGACCAGGCACTGATGACAAACTCAGAACAATGTGACACTGACAGAGAATTTTCAAAGTAATCAAGAACCCAAACAATTTTAAGTCCTTAAAAAAACTTTGTTTTCCATAATCAGCTTAATTTATAATTATGCAATATGCTTAAGAATTAAGATTTGAAATAGCTGGGAAGATAAGGAAAAGATAATTTCTGACAGCTCCATTATTAAGTAGAAATTATGTTCTGGAAGTGTGTTTTTTAAATGGGTAAAAAATGAGATATGGGACAGATTTAAAACTAATTGCTGCTCAGCATCTGTTTCAAGCTTAGTTTTGTACAAGGCTGTATACTTTCTGCCATTCTTTAGGTGCACATAAGTACACTGGCTAAGAATTATAGTACCTTTTCAGAACAGATTGTTGGGGTAGGTAAGAGTTAAATGACTTTTTTCAGGGATAACGTAACATACTCAGAGGCTCGGCCTGAGTCACTCATACTGAGACGACTAGTGGGTCACATCCTTTCCCTGCAGAGAACCAGGGTAAGCTTCCTGCCTGCACGGCACAGGAGGATGCACTTCTACAGACAAAACAAGGCTTCCACTTGCTGCTGACATGGAACTGAGGGGAACCTGTACTCCGTGACACTACACATTTCACAACATTGTATCAACGGGATTCAGGCCATCAACATGAAAGCCCTCCTCTTTGCGGCTGCTGGACTACTGCTTCTGCTGCCCACATTTTGTCAAAGCGGTAAGCTCTTCTCTCACAGGATAGGACAGGGATACTGGTTTGTGTTACTAAGTAAGGGTCAACTGAGCTTAATTTTCTTTGTGTCTCACACAAACTGCAAACCCAAAAGGCAGAGTTTGATTTTAGTTATTAATAGTAGTATCTGGAAGTGAATATCTATAGTTTGTTCATCTCTATTCAAACCTTGTCAAAAACTAAGTGTTCTTTACTGATATTTAAAAATCAGTGGCCTACTCAAGATCTTAGATAGCTATAATTAAGTCAAGAAGCAATTTTCTCTGTGAGAAGTTTTTGTGTATGCAAAAATTTTATCTAGCAAAGATAGCACTTTTTCAAGGTATTAAAAAAACAGCCTCCTGGCGAGACATAAATGGGAGAAATAAGAATATTGCCAGAAAGAGTGAGCAATCTGCTTTCAGTAGCCAGCAATGCTAATCAATCAGTGTTTCCAAAATGAAATACCTCTTTTGAGTGGTACCTGGGAATGCTCCACCCTCACCTGTGATTTTTAGATTTTAGAAATAAGCCTCCCAAATATTATCAGTTAACCGTGAATGTTCTTCCTATTTTCCCCATCACAAAGTTGGCTTGCAACTGCCTGCTTGCCCCCAATAAGCGAGTCTGGGATAGATCTACGTCCACCCCTTCTACTGTTAGGTCACACTCAGTGAGGGAGGGAAGAAGGGGGTGGGGGACAAGCAAGGCAGGGAAAAGAACAAGTTAAGCCAAAAACAACCCTCTGTAAAAGAAGGTTGCTTAACTGGGTAGTTGGACTCCCGGAGGCTGCCGCAGAGAACTCTGAAAACACCACGGGAGAGACAGCTGCACATGCGGGACTGATAAGTAGGACAAGGTCAGGCTCCTTCTGGGAGTGGATGGACAAATGCTGAGCAGCAGAGCTGCTAGAGAAATGAGGCCTGTGGAGGCGAGCCCTTCACGATGCTAACAGGGCTTACTGGAAGGGAAAAGCAAGGCCTCTAAAGGAGACAAAGGAAAGGGCAGTGAACTTGCTTTCTTTGCTATGGGTGGGGGAAGAAATGTGAAGCCCACTATCGACGGCTGAAGCCCATCCCTCTGGGTCAGTCCCCTCCATGGCCCTTTCTCAGGTTTGAAAAAATTTCAGAATTATTACATCCAATGGAAATCTGTATAAAGAATTCAAACACTTTTAAAAAAATAAAAATTAACAGTGAGTATATTCTTAAAGAAAACCAGGCTCTGAGGAGTAAAAGGCTCATTTTTAAGCAGAATCTGGCCTGGAATTCTCAAGAAAAGTGGAATCAAGTCAACTTCACAAGCACAGACTCTGTTTAGCATGTATGCAGATACCATGTCTTGCTCAATCACAGGAATCTTGAAAACGGACAAACACTTGGTTTCAACAATTCTCTTATCAGATCCTGAAGGGAAACAACTTGCAAGCATGTTTGGCCACCACTCTCTAGCTCTGTGCCTTGCTTTGAAGGCACTTCTCTTTGGGTGATGTCACATGCAAGAACTTTTCCAGAAGGCAAAAGTGAACAGGATTTCTGTGGCTGAACTGCAGACACACGACATGCTTTCAAAGACAGGCACAGAACACCACGTCCCATAGTTTTTTTTCCCTTTCCTTTAAGCGATCTTTCCTTTAATGACACCTGGTCACCTCACGCCACAGCTGTCAGGCTGCACTTCCTCTCTTTCACACAGTGAACCTGTTTGTGCAATCTCAGGGTTATAAGAGAGACTCCAGTTTTACCTAGGAGCAAACTTCTAGAGATTAAAGCAGGAAGAGAAACTGACTCTGAGTGAGAAACAAGTTATTAAACATTAACCTCAAGTACTCTCAACACAGGAATTCAGAGGTCGTGGGACAAGCTGTAACTGGCAGAGTACTGGCATTTTAAATCAGTAAGTTTAAGGTTTATATTTAGCATAAAAGTTCAGCTTAATGGTAGCATTAGAAATCTGAGAGAATCTATTTTCTATATATGTCAAAAATTACTTTATGAAAAACATTATGTAATAACAAACAGGTTGGAGCATTGAAGTTTATTTTGTTTAGAAATGGCCCTTTCAGGAATCAGGATTATTAACATTGACATGCCAAGTAATGTCAAATACTTATAGCACATAGGTGACATGTTTCATCTTTTAACAGATTCATTTCCAATTTCTTAGGCCCTCAAAGTGATTTTGTCTTCAGATTTTTCTTTCTTCGCTTCTTCTTCCCTTAAAATCTGGCACTTCCACTGAAGTCTATCTTTGAATTATTTCTTCTCTTACCTCTCCCTGGGTCATCTCAACCACTCCTGCTAAATTGAACTATAGCTTCCATGACGACTACAATAATCAATACCTTGAATTTGGGCTCCTGGAATTCTGGAGTCCACATTTAGCTTTTCCAGATGCTAGACATTTTATATACTAACATTCTGCCAGCAACTAAACTCAGCAATAGCAAGAACTGATATGTTAGCTTCTCCTCATCCTGTCCCCTTGTCCCATCTCAGTTAATGGCATCCTCCCCGTCCAAGGCACTTTTGTCTTCTGCCTCTCCCTCACTGCCTCCCTATAGCCTACAGAAGCCAAGTTCCTTTGAGCCCTCATCACAGTTTCATGTGTTCACCGTCAACTTTCACAACCACTGCTCTAGTTCAGTAACTCACCATGTGAATGATTACAGCAGTCTCTAAATCAGGACCCTTTGCCTCTAACTTCGTTACCTTTTCAATCTGTTCCCTACACTGTCACCAAAGTCATCTTAAAAAGAAGACATAAGCAAGGCTATATTAGTTGCTTATTGCTGCTATAACAAACAATCGCAAATTGAGTGGTTTATAACAGCACAGATTTATTACCTTATACTTCTGGAGGTCAGAAGTCTTAAAATCAAAGATGTTGGCAGGGCTGTGCTTGTTCTACAGCTTCTAGAAGCTACCTGCATTCCTTGGCGTATGACCTCTTCTTCCATCTTCAAAGCCAGCAGCACAGAATCCTCAAATCTTCTCTCTGGCTTTGACCCTCTCATGGCCCCCTTATAAGGACTCCTACAATTACATCTGGCCCATCCAGACCATTCAGGATAATCTCATTTTAAGATCCTTAATGAAAATACATCTCCTAAGCACCTTTTGCCTTGTAAATAACACATCTATGGGTTTCAGGGATTAGTAGGTGGAATCTTTGGGGTCATTTTTCTGTTTACAGTAGTCATTCCTCTATTCAAAACTGTGTGTGCAACTCCAGTATCTATGAGTAGGAACACGATTTCTTAGGACAGTAGAGAATCCCTTCAAGAATCTGGCTATAACCTATTCCTTCAAATTCATCTCTCAGAGACACCTTATTGGTATAAGACAGGGCATTTTTATGCACCTTCTCCACTAGTCAGAGTTATTTACAGATAGGAATGGAGTTTATTTGAAACTCTGTGCCAAAGGCACAGAAGTATACAATGCAACTTTACTGAATCAATGTGCCTGGCACTCCTAGATCCCATGTAGGACCCTGTTATGCCTCTGCCCACTCATTGACAGCAGAATCTGGTTCATCCATTAAAATTCCATCTCTTTATGAACCTTGCTCATCTTTGCTCGAGTTCATCTTCTCCTTGACATTTGCTGAATCGGTTAACTACTGTCATGCATACACAGTTTATAGTCAACAGAACATTTTCCAACACTATTTATTTCTTCTAATAGTATTATGAACACTTTATATACACCTTATATACAAAGAGTGGGCATCTAGTTCTTATTCCTGCAGGGGATAGCATGGGGTATATAATCTATATTAAGTATATGATTGTTGATTGCCTCATCTAGAATGATTTTGAAAGGTAAAGTTGATCCTAAATTCTACAACCATAGAAATTATATAACATAAAACATTTTGTTTTCTTTTCTCTTGAACCATACATATGGTTTGGCAACCAATCATATAATACTTCCTTTCCATTACAGGCATGGAAAATGACGCAAATAACCTGGCAAAGCCAACCTTACATATTAAGACCTTTCGTGGAGATCCCGCAAATACTTTTGAAGAATTTCCCCATTATGTCATAGATGGCTGGACAGAAGACACCACAACTGGCATAACTGGAAAAATTAAGTGCCCTGAAGAAAGTGTTTCGAGCCTCCATGTGAATAATGTTACCATGGGGTATCTGAGCAGTCCCTTAAGTACCAAGCTGATCCCTGCCATCTATATCCTGGTGTTTGTGGTTGGCATGCCAGTCAATGCCCTAGCCCTGTGGATGCTCTTCTTCAGGACCAGGTCCATTTGTATGACCATCTTCTCCACTAACCTGGCCATTGCGGATTTTCTTTTTTGTGTCACACTGCCCTTTAAGATAGCTTACCATCTCAGTGGGAACAACTGGGTGTTTGGAGAAGCCATGTGCCGAGTTACCACAGTCATCTTCTACGGCAACATGTACTGCTCCATTCTGTTCCTGGCCTGCATCAGCATCAGTCGCTACCTGGCCATAGTGCATCCCTTCATTTACCGGGCGCTGCCTAAGCGCAACTATGCCTTGCTAACATGTGTGTTGGTGTGGGCAACAGTTTTCTTATACATGCTGCCATTTTTCATCCTGAAGCAGGAGTATTACCTCATCCAGCCAGGTATCACCACCTGCCATGATGTTCACAACACGTGCGAGTCTTCATCTCCCTTCCAACTTTACTACTTCATCTCCTTGGCATTCTTTGGATTCTTAATTCCATTTATGGTTATTGTCTATTGCTACATGGCCATCATTTGGACACTTAATGCATACGATCATAGATGGCTCTGGTATGTTAAGGCGAGTCTCCTCACTCTTATGATTTTTACCATATGCTTTGCTCCAAGCAATATTATACTTATTGTCCACCATGCTGACTACTACTACAACAACGCTGATGGTTTATACTTTATATATCTCATAGCTTTGTGCCTGGGAAGCCTGAATAGTTGCTTAGACCCATTCCTTTATTTTTTCATGTCAAAAATTGCAGATCACTCCACTTCTTACCTTACAATGGTGAAGTCATCTTAGAGAACAAGGAAAGCTCTCTGTGAAAACAGATATTCTTGGGACAACATATGTATCATGCAAAGAGCTCTACCTTCCATTTTTGACCTCCTAAGAAACAGTGCTTCAAAAATCAAACATTACAGAAGCACTAGTAATTTTTAAAAACACTTTATCAGTATTTTAAGAATGTTAGCGCAGGAGGAAGGCCACCAGCACTCTCCTATGGCAACCGGCACATCTCCGTTTGCCTTACTGCCACATCAAGCTCTTGAAATCTCCATCTTCCCTTCTTCTGTGAGTGGTATTGACATCTGAGAAATGGAGCATCATCTTTGATTGTTTTGTCTCCTTTGACTCTCATGCGGGCAGCTGCCTCATCAGCTGACTCTATCTTTGTAGTGTCCCTCACTAGGATCCCTTATCCTAGTCCCACCTTTGTCTCCTAACTATTCTCTTCACTGCCAACCTCCCCTGCACCTCACAGAATGTGCCAAGTTACTCCTCCTCAGATATCAATTTGTATATATCACTCAAAACCCTCCCTTGACTCTCCACTGCTTCTTTAATAAAATCTTTAGCCTGACATTCAAAGCTTACTTTCTAATCCAACGTCCTGGTAAACCTCAGCTGTAATGTAGGCACCAGCCAAACCTCTTCCTTTGCTGTGATCTTGACTTTTTCACTCTTCACTTCTGCCTCTGACTGAAAAGCTAGTTCTTAACATCTTTGCCTTAATTCTGTCCACCTCCTGAAGTCCTCAAAGGACCATCCTTCCCTGATTCTCATGCTAGAAGTGTCCCTTTTCTCACCTGAACTTCCCAAGTACTTTTTATTATACTATGTATCATTGGCACCTACATATAGTTCATTTATATACAAATATTAATTCCACGAACAAGCATACTATGTCTAACCGAGAAGGTGCTCATCCCTTTCCTCATTTCCCCAGGCCCATGTCTTCATAGGGCCCAGCTCAATGCTTTGCATATCATGAGGCTGAATAAGTGAATTTTGAAAATTCCAAAGCTTCTAGATAGCACGGAAGTCGGGTAAATTCATACTGAAAGGCAAAACACACTCTGTATGACATGGAATGACATTATTTCGGGTTCGGCATATTAAAAAAAAATAATGATGCTAGACAAAAGACTATACTCATATGGTCACTGAGAAGTTTAAAATAATGCCCTCCCAATTTTTCTTTCTTAGACATAGTTTTTAATGGGAAAATGATATTTTATAAAAGCCCAGTATATTCCTGTGGGGAAATGACTATGTTTCTCTCAATTTAGGATTAGACAGGAGGTAGGATACTAGTGGTTAAGAGTGGGTGGTGGTAGTGATTATAAATGAGGCTGAGAAAACCTTCAGGCATGAAGGATTGCTGAGATGAATTTACAAAGCCTGTAGGAATGTGCACTGACTACTTTGTAATGACTATCAAAACAATAAAAAATATTTTAAATGCACATTTTTAAATGTGCAGAGCTTCCTATTTTGTTGGACTTAGATACAAAACTTGCATATCAAAACCCTTTACAGTATGCATGTGGTTATATAAATAGGAAAACTTAGGTAAACACTAAAGTGAGCAAGAAACACAAATCTCAAATTTCATAAGAAAAACGCTCAACATCACTAATCATAAGAGAAATGAAAGTCAAAATCACAACAAGATGACATCTCACAACAATCAGAATGGCTAACAACACATGCTGAGGAAGTTGTGGAAAAAAGAAAAGCTTATACACTGTTGGTAGGAATGTCAACTATTTCAGCCCCTGTGGAAAGCAGTCTGGAGATTTCGCAAAGAACTAAAAATAGAATTACCATTTGATCCAGCAATTTCATTACCTGGTATCTACTCAAAAGAAAATAAATCATTATATAAAAAAGACACCTGCACTTGTATGTTCATGACAGCACTATTCATGATAGCAAAGTCATAAAACCAATGTAGGTACTCATCAACAGATGACTGGATAGAAAAATATGGTGTGCATATGTATATTTGTGTGTGTATACACACAGATGAAACTGAAGGCCATTATCCTGAGTGAAACAACTCAGATACAGAAAAATCAAATACTGCATGTTCTTACCTATAAGTGGGAGCTAACCAGTGGGTGCTCATGGACATACAGAGTGGAAAAACAGACACTGGAGATTCCAAAAGGCGGGAATATGAGGGGTGAGGGATGAAATACTACCTAACAGAAGAACACTACTCAGGAGATAGGTACACTAACAGTCCAGACTTCACCACTATGCAGTTCCATGTAATAAAACTGCATTTGCACCTCTTAAATCTGTTTTTTAAGAAGTTTCAAGACGATAAAAACTTAAACGGAGGCAACTGATTTCTGAAAATTAAGTCATCAACAGTTATATAGTTTTACCTAGAAGAAAAAAATAACAATATTCACTTGTCAAAAGTACACCATTTTAATAAAGTATACATCCAAGGAGCAAAAGAGGATTTTTTTTGGTATGGTGTAATTCATTTATTTACAAGTAAAAGCCTTATTTATTTATTTGTTTGTTTATTGACGAGTCTTGCTCTGTCACTCAGCTGGAGTGCAGTAGTGCAATTACATGAGTATAGCTTACTGTAGCCTTGAACTTCTGGGTTCAAGCAATCCTCCTGCCTCTGTCTCCCAAATAGCTGGGACTACAGGCATGTACTGCCATACCTGGCCCAAAGCCTTCAATTTAAAAATAGCTCACAATTCACTGCCTCTGGTGAATAGAAAAATGTGTTCTACTCTGCTAAGTATATGCCTACATGCTCATTAACCAATCTATCCCGAAGAGGCAAAAGGAATATGGTGCCTACACAAGGTTATACTTAAAATACTGTTAAACAGGACCAAGAATCCTTCCTAGCTTCCATCACTGTCCTCAATCTTTGATAAAACTGAGCATCTATTCTGTGAAGATGATATCCACTGTGACCTTTAATGGCTGTATACTTTGGCACAAGTTTTACTTTATATTGACAATACCGACAATATAATTTTCTTCTATTGTTTTCCAAGGCCAGATGTTAGGAAAACAAGGTACAAAAATACAACTGGAAATTTTTAAGAATCAAAGCAGCAGAGGCTGCCAGGTGCAGTGGCATGCACCTGCAATCCTCGCTATTTGGAGGCTGAGGTGGAAAGATTGCTTGATCCCAGGAGTTTGAGACCAGACTAAGAAACATAGCGAGATCCTGTCTCAAAGAAAAAAAAATAACAGAAGTTAAAAAACACAAAGACCGTGCCAACAGCAGCCTGAGAAAAGAAAGTTTCAAAATTAATGGATGGAGAAAAAAACTATGCTTAAAAATATCAGTTTAACCAAGTATAATTTATTGCTCAGTAATTTATTGCTCAGAACTTCAGTGCTGTAAAACTGTTAGCAATTGCCAATATATTTAAAGCCCCCAATTTTATAGGCCAAAAGTGGTTTACCACCAGAACTCGAGGCTCCATATTTAATGCTCTAATCATACCATAAAATCCACACATAGGAAGAATGCCCAGTGCAGAGCTGGCACCATGTATATGGGCAGTGGAAAGGCTAGAGAGCGCCCTGGAGGAGTCTTATGGAATTCTAGTTCAATTCTGAGCCCTTTGATTGGACTGCTCCGGAGTGGATCTGCACTGCTTGCCTACGAAAGGCCTTGGGTTTGTGGGGTCAGTCTCACCTCTAAGACAAACCCCTAAGAGGCTGTGGGCAGAGAGGCACTTAGATCTATCTCTACCCAGTCCTAGAAGATCCTATCTTTGGTATCTTGGCAGAGCTGATCTGTGTCTAGTAAGAATCTTGTGGCACAGACATCACTCACCCCTGACTTGGGAGGCAGCCACAGGTACCCACAATAATAGTAGCTACATTATTTAAGCACTTTTTTGGGGGCCAGGCTCCATGCTAAATGCTATAGCTACACACACTCACACATATTCATAATTAATGCCATTAAATATAATTATATACTAACATATGATTTATTATAGTACATTTACGTATTATATATTCTCATATAGCCTTTACCATAATCCTTTAAGATGGGTACTCCTATTTTCATTTTATCCATGGGAAAAGAAAGCACATAGAGATTCAGTGACGTGACCAAGGTCACACAGTTAATTTGTGACAAAGCCAGGATGTGCATGGTGCCTGTCTCCAAAGCAAATGACTTTCTCTTCCAATGCCAGTAAGTTTGCCATGTGCCACAGCTACAGCCACCTCAGTGGGAACAGCGAGGAGGAGGCCCACTGTCCTCCCCTTAGGATGTGGGAACATGAGGCTTAGGTTTGCATTCTTGCTCTTCCACTTACTGGCATCCTCAGGCTCATTAACAGCAGAGGAAAGAACATCCAGCCCTCCCTCAGCTGGTGTTGTGCCGGGGGTGGGGGGGTGCAACTGCCCTCACTGTCAGAAGGTAGCAGCACAGAAGGCTCCACAAGGGAGATACTTTCCTCCCTCTTCCATGGGGCCGTTTAGTGGTGTGGAACAAACAGGGTTTACATTGGCTTTCAAAAGTTTAGTAACACTACATAATACATGCACTCCTTAAAAAAATGTAAAAATCCAAAACAGTACAAAAACAGAGTTAAAAAGAAATCTCCTATCTAAACTAGCCTTCAGGTTCACCTTCCAGAAGGTATCCTACCCCCAGAAATACTTTATACAGACATGAGTGTGTGTGTCCCCACCCCCAACACACACACACGGCATGTACTCCATTTTTACACACATGGAAGCATGCTTTTCTTGCTTAACAACATTTAGGTTGTTTGTGGTATTTTGGTACTGCAAACAAAGCTGCAATAAACATATTTTTCCATCTACCTTAATGCATAATAATATGCTTCTGAATAAGACAGACTTGGGCTGTAGTCCCAGAACAAATTACCTTTTGAACAGCTTTGGACAAGTTACTTAACTTTGGTTTCATTATCTGTAAGATGGCAACTGTGATGGCAAAATGATTCAGAGCGCTGTTATAAATTGTTATGATGATTAAATGAGATAATATGCATAAAATACCTAATACCATGCCTAGCAAATAATGGGTTCCCAAAAAGTGTTTACTTTAACCAAGGTTTTGGATGAGGTATTTTCTGGATTCTGAAGACCGAGACAGAGGAGATGCCCACCCCTTTTTACTCGGCCTGCATCTGGGGATGTGGCAGCCACAAGTGGCAAGGTCTCTCAGATGGCATCACTCCCACTCTTGGGTGACAGGTCACACAAGCCTCACTACTCAGCTCAGTATGCTTCTCACAGTGGCCAATCTCTGTGGGACTACTCATAATAGCAAGACAAGCTCTGTGTACAGATAAAAGCCACTACTCTTCAAAAGTACTCTGGCCAGACCAGTCTCATCCCATGCCCAGACCAAACCATGCTGGTACCACCTGTCTGCATCACACTGCTCTCCACTCGCCCAACCAACTCTTCCCTACTTTCCAGGCACAGCTCCTGTTCTACCTCCATGCCAACTTCTCTTAGGATTCTAGTCCCCAATAATCCCAACTTTCTCTAATCACTCTGTATAACTCATTTTGACACTCTGCACTTACTTATCTCTGCTATTATTTAACTATATGAGAATGTCCACTGCCTCAATAAGTTTCTAAGCATTTCAAGGATAAAGTCAGAGAGTGTTCAAATGGTTTCACCTATCCTTTTGTATCCTCTTCTCCTCTACCAGGTGCCACGGTACTGCACTGCACACACAGTACATACTCCGGAAATATCCAGCAAATTGGACTAGCCACAACTGCGTTTTTGGTGAAAAACACAGCTCTAGAGGCAGTTTTCCTCTAATGTTTGGCACCAGGAAAATAACGGCCCTATTATTTCCAATCGAATTCATGGGCAATTGCTGGAACAAGAAGCTCATGAGATTTAAGGCTAATGGGTCAAAAACTCTCCCTCCTACCCCACCCCTTATCTAGTCTGTAAATATAAAAGAAACAAACATGCTGAAGCTTACCTTGAGTTTTTGTGACTTGGCATGGTATAAAACATCCTGGTAGTGCTGGGCACAAGCTGGGTCCACATCTCTAACATTTGCTGTCGGTAACAGCAAGGTTTCTAAGGTCCTCCAAGGATTCCCTTCATCAATAGCTTCATTGATGTATCCTATAGCTACAATTCCTAAAAAAATAAAGAAAAGTTTTCCTTTTAAGTCATAGTACTTACAAGTTCCTTAGTGTCACCTATCACAAAGAGCTAATAAAGGAACTTTCTTTCTTTGTTGTTTTTACAACGTCTATTTTCCCCACTTGCTGGGCAGCAGAGATGGAGGAGAAATCAGAACTTACAAGGTGTATTTTCCCCACTTGCTGGGTGGCAGAGACAGAGGGCACACCTCATCAACAAGGGTGTCTGCACAATGAATATTTGTATACCCAACCTTGACTTGTACCCCATAATTTTAAAATAAAAATTAAAAGAGGAACTTTCAACAAGGCTGCTGGATATAGGATCAATACACAAAAACCAGTTATGTTTTTATACACTCATAATAAGCAATTGGAAATAAAATTAAGAAAAAGTTCAGTTCATAAGAGTCCAACTAAGTATATATTTTAATTATTAAAAAACAGAAATTATTTAAAAAATTTAGAAATTATTTAACAAAAAAACCCAACATGTACTGAAAACTTAAAACACCACTGGAAAAAAATTGAAGACAACTTAAATAAATGAAAAGGCATCCCATGTTCAAGAATTAGAAGATTTAACATTGTCAAGATGGAAATACTCCTTAATCTATTCAATCCAACCTTTATCAAAATCCCAGCTGCCTTTTGTAAAAAGAAATTGACAAGTTAATTCTAAAATTAATATGGATATACAAGGAACTAAAAATAACCAAGGCAATCTTGAAGAAAGAATAAAGTTGAAGGACTTTTCCCAGTTTCAAGACTTACTAAAAAGCACAGTGATCAATACTGCATGGTATTGCCATAAGGATAAACATACAGATCAATGGAGTAGAACTGGGAGTATGGAAATAAACCCTTATATTTATGGTAATTTTGTTTTTGACAAGTGTGCCAAGAAAATTCAATGGGGACGGAATAATCTTTATAACAAATGGTTATAAGTGGTGCCAGGATAAGAATAATGCATAAGATAATGCAGGATAAGAATAATGCATGCATAAGAATGAAGTTGGTCCCTTACACATCACACTATACACAAAAATTAACTCAAAATCTATCACAGACCTAAACTTAAAAGCTAAAACCATAGATCTTTTAGAAGAAAACAGGAGTAAATCTTTGTAACCTTGGGTTAGACAGTTATTTTTTGGCTATGATGTCTAAAACACAAATAACAAAAGAAAAATATAAATGGGACTTTGTGAAAACGAAACTTCTTGTGTTTCAAAAGACTACATAAAAAAATGTAACCTGCCGGGCTCGGTGGCTCAGCCTGTAATCCCGTGCCTTTGGGAGGCTGAGGTGAGTGGATTGCCTGAGCCCGCGCGTTCGAGACCCGCCTGGGTAGCGAGACCTCATCTCTACAATAAATCAAAAAAAATCAGCTGGGCGTGGTAGCGTATGCCTGTAATTCCGGCTACTTGGGAGGCTGAGGTGGAAGGATCGCCGGAGCCCAGCAGGTCGAGGCTGTGGTGGCCGGGAATGGCCACTGCACTCCAGTCTGGGCGACAGAGTGAGACTCCAACTCAAAAAAAAAAGGTAACCTAAAAGATAAGAAAAAATACTTGTTTGTGTATAGTGATAGATAGGGGTCCTGTTTCAATCTTCTGCATGTGGTCAGCCAGCTTTCCCAGCACCATTTACTGAACAGGTTCTCCTCTCCGCAGTGGTTGTTGGTGGAGGCTTTGTTGAAGATAAGTTGGTTGAGAAATTAAGGTTTTGTTTCCAGAATCTCTATCTTGCTTCATTGGTCCAAATGCCTGCGTTCTTGTACCAATACCGGGCTGTTTTGATTATTGTAGGCCTTATAGTAAAGTTTAAAGTCTAGAAGTGTGATTCTTTTACAAAGGATTGTTTTGACTATTTGTGGTCATTTATGTTTCCATGTGAAATTCTATACTGTCATTTCCATGTCTGAGAAATATGATGTTGGTAATTTAAAGGGCATTGGGTTGAATCTGTAGATTGTCTTTGGTGGGATGGACATCTTAACAATGTTGATTCTTCCTATCCATGAGCATGGAATATTTTTCCATTTGTTTGTGTCTTCTTGGATTTCTTTGAGCTTTCTGTAGTTTCCTTTGTAAAGGTCTTTCACTTCCCTGGTTAGGAAGATGACAAGGCATTTCATTTTTTTCGTGACTATTGTGAATGGGACTGTGTTTTTTATTTGGTTCTCTGTTTGTTGTTGGTGTATAAGAATGTGACTGTCTTTTGCATGTTTACTTTGTACCCTGAGACCTTGCCAAAGTCCTTTATCAGTAAAGGGAGGTTTCTGACAGATTCTCTTGGGTTTTTGAGGTAGAAGATCATTATCATCAGCAAAGAGGGATAACTTAACTTCCTCTTTTCCTATTTGGATACCTCTGATTTCCTCCTCTTGTCTAATTGCTCTAGCTAGGACTTCCAACACAATGTTGAACAGGAGGGATAAGAGTGGTACATATGACAAAGGCCTAACACCCAGGATTTACAAGGAACTCAAATGTGCCGGGAAAAAAAAACCAAAAAACAAAAACAGGCCCATTAAAAAGTGGGCAAAAGACATGAACAGACACTTCTCAAAAGAAGATATATGGGCAGCCAACAGACACATGAAAAAGAACTCAGTCTCACTAATCATCAGAGAAATACAAATCAAAACCATATTGAGATACCACCTAACCCCAATAAGAATGGCCATTATTAACAAAATAAACAACTGATGCTGGTGATGGTGTGGAGAAAAAGGAACACTTTTCCTTTCTTGGTGGAAATGCAAACTAATTCAACCTCTATGGAAAACAGTGTGGCAATTTCTAAAAGAACTAGAAATTGACCTTCCATATGACCCAGCAATTCCCCTGCTGGGAATATACCCAGACAACTCAAATCATTCTACAAAAAAAGATACCTGTACATGCCTGTTTACTGCAGCACTATTCACAATAGCAAAACATGGAACAAATCGTGCTGCCCATCAAAACTGGACTGGATAAAAAAAAATTTGGTACAGATACACAATGGAATACTATGTAGCCATAAAGAAGGATAAATATATGGATGGATTTAGAATTTAAATACTCAGTGATCTATCACAGAAAAAAAGAACAGAGTACCATATGTTCTCATTCATAAGCGGACCCTGAACATTTACTACAATACTGTAAGAAAGGGATTGGCAGTAGCGGGATACTGCTGGAGTGGGGATGGTGACACAACATCAATAAGGGTAACCTGATCTCAAACCAGGCAAAGTGGGAACCAAAGGGAGGCCCAGACTTTACCTGTACAATGTCCTTGTATACCTAATTCTGAATTGTACCCCACATCTTTAAGATAATATATATCTCTAAAAGAAAAAATTATTTGTATATTGAAATAAAAGAACTGTTACAACTCAACAAAGAAAAGACAACTCAATTTAAAATTGTGAAAAGACTTAGATACTTCTTTCAGCTAGTAAGCACACGAAAAGAGGCTCAATATCATTAGCCTTTAGAAAAGATGCAAAGCTGAGTGTAATGGCTCATCCTATAATCCCAGAATTTTGGAAGGCTGAGGCGAGAGGATTGCCTGAGTCCAGGGGTTCGAGACCAGCCTTGGCAACTTGATGAGACCTCGTCTTCACAATAGATAAAAAAAAAAAAAATTAGCCAGGCAAGGTGTCGCACACCTGTGGTTCCAGTTACTTGGAAGGCTGAGGGTGGAAGGATTGCCTGAGCCCAATAGGTCAAGGCTGTGGTGGCCATGAGCGTGCCACTACATTCCAGTCTGGGCAACAGAGTGAGACTCCAACTCAAAAAAGAAAATAAAAGATGCAAATCCAAATCATGATATGATACCACTTCTAACCTACTAGGATGACCTCATTAAAGAAGACACACAATAACAAGTGCTGATGAAGATGTGGAGAAATTAAAATCCTCTAACATTGCTGGTGGCAATGAGTCACCTTAGAAAATAGTTAGGCGGTTCCTTAAAATATTAAACATAGAATGTTTAATAATTTAAACATAAGTATTGATTTGGCAGTTCTACCTATATTCAACAGATCAATGGAAAAACAAAAGGTATATCTATAGAATGAAATATTCTTTGACCTAGAAAGGAATACTAAGTATATTGATATATGACACAACATGGATGAACTTTGAAACATTGTGTTAAGTGAAAAAAGCTAAACACGAAAGGCCACATATTATAGAATTCCATGTATACGACACATATATGAAAAGTCCAGAATAGGCAAATCCACAGAAGCAAAGTAGATTAGTGGTTGCTAGGGCATGGGAGAATAGTGAGAGGGAGGGGCTGCTAATGGGAAAGGAATTTCTTTAGGACTGATGAAAATGTTCTCAATTTAGGTGACAGTGATGCTTGCCCAGCTTCTTTGAATATATAAAAACTACTGAACTGTATACTTTAAGAAGGTCAATTTTGTGGTTATGTAAATTATACTCAATTAAGCTGTTATTATAAAGGGGGCATAACATTGCATAAATGCAGGAGCAGGAATGCTAATGTCTAGTGTAACTCTCACTTAGATGTTAGATAGTAATGTCAAGATATCAGGTGATGGAACTGCAGAATACCAGAGTCAGAAGAATTTAATGTAGAGACATACAGAAAAGGAAACAGAAGTAGAGAAGTTTCATATACATTCTATTTTTTGGATAGCTCTATTTTATCACATTGTAAAGGATGCCAAAACAGAAGTAGCTAAAAGCCAAATACTTTCCTACAGTGTTAATAAAGAGTAGAGTGAATTTCCAAGTGAGTGTAGTCCAGTGCTGTCCAATATGGTAGCCATTAGCCACACGTAACTATAGAGCACTTAAAATTTGGCTAGTGTAACTGAAGAACTAAATTTTAATTCAATTTTAATTAATTTAAATTTAAATAGACACATGTGATTGGAAAGTGCAGGTAGGCTCCACAGAAATAAACAGCCTTACATGTTCTGGTATACTTTCAAGGTTCAAATATGGATATAATTAATTTCACATATTGTTTGCATAATACTAGGCAGTAAAAGAGTATCTGGAGTCCTGATTCATGAAGGTATCAAAGGATGAATAAGCATATATCCTCTAGCTTAATTTTCTACATCTCTACCTCAGAAAAAGATTTCAGAATACAGACTATAGGGACCAGAAAAAAAGAGCAGAAGTCAAATTGTGGATTTGAAAAGTTTTTGTAATTCTAGCAAAATGGATCTATTTGGAGGCCATGTCTCAATGTCACCTTGCTATTAAAAAACATCACTCTGTCATAAAAATATAGTGTATGTATATATGTCCATGTATATATACATATACATGCATACATACACACACAACCAGGAGTTTTTGCTTCCTAGGTTAGTATTGATGGTCAGGGACTATTAAAGAAACTAAATATCCAGCCTGGGCAACATAGTGAGACCCTGTCTCTACAAAAATATTAAAAAAAAAAAATTAGCTGGGCATGGTGGCACATTGCTATTGGCTGAGAAGGAAAAATTGCTTGAGCCTAGGCTACAATGAGCCATGATCATGCCACTACACTCTAGCCTGGGTGACAGAGACCCTGACCAAAAAACAAAACAAAAAACTCCACAAACCAGAAACTAAATATTAATGAGCAGCAACCTTAGAATATGAGCATTTTTAAGGTCAAATTTACTATTTCTCATTTTGTCAGTTAGTTTTTATCTAAAATGATCACAAGTCACTTTATAAATGTGAAAGGCCATGAAGTACAATGAGTACTTGTTATTTTTAAAAAGTATTTTGAGCCGGGCTATGTGGTTCAGCCTGTAATCTCGCGCTTTGGGAGTCCAAGGTGAGGGGACTGCCTGAGCCCGTGGGTTCGAGACCCGCCTGGGCAACTTGGCAAGACCTCATCTCTACAATAAATCAAAAAATTAGCTGGGCGCGGTAGTGTGCACCTGTAGTTCCAGCTACTTGAAAGGCTGAGACGGAAGGATCACCGGAGCCCAGCAGGGCAAGGCTGCGGTGGCCGGAAGTGGCCACTGCACTCCAGTGTGGGTGACTGAGTGAGACTCCAACTTAAATAAATACATACATACATACATACATACATAAACAAACAAACAAACAAATAAATAAATATAAAAATAAAAAGTATTTCGGTTGGGCTCGGTGGCTCAGACTGTAATCCCAGCACTTTGGGAGGCTGAGTGAGTGGATTGCCTGAGCCCGTGGGTTCGAGACCAGCCCGGGCAACTCGATGAGACTTCATCTCTACAATAAATAAATTAAAATTAGCCAGGCGTGGTAGTGTGTGCCTGTAGTTCCGGCTACTTGGAGGGCTGAGGCGGAAGGATTGCCAGAGACCAGCAGGTCGATGCTGGTGTGGCCGTGAGTGTGCGTGCCACTGCACTCCAGTCTGGGTGACGGAATGAGACTCCAACTCAAAAAAATAAAAATAAAAATAAATAAATAAATAAAAAGTGTCTCCATCTTGACATTCAAATGAAGGCAATATATTTAGCTAAATGTTTCCTGAATAGATGACCCCATAATCACCACCTTGCTAAGAATGAAAGATTTACCTATAAAACAAAAAAAGTAAAGGAACAATCTAAAACGTCTAGAAAGTGTCCTAGATTTTAATATTTAAATATGCTTTTAAAAAAAGCAAAAGTATTTCTCTAACATGCAAATGACAGTATCTTTAAACATCAGGAGAACTCTGGAAAGTCGAAATACTATCTACCTACAAGTCCTATAGGATTTACAAACTAGGGAGCACAGGATATTCCATTTATCATTCCCTGGATACCCCATGGACAAGCTGTTCCAAATACCTTTAAAACACCCCATCCAAAAATGGTCTTAACAGAAGCAACGGACGATCACCTGGGAGTGAGTGCATTTCCAGATGACTTGATTGAAATCATCTGCTTAAGTTTTGGTTTGGAATGTTTCTAAGGACACAAGCTGCTGAGGTCATAGTAAATTACCTCATAGCAGCTGAAAGACCTACCCAGAAGCCTCCTGGGCACATGTGCATCATTTTCTCTGTCCATAAGTAAAGGGGACATTTCATCTGACTGACTACTTCAGCCATGGTCCGATTCTTTAAATCAACATGTATTGCTATAACATTCTGGTCCACTGAGAATAGGTACTTCTTAGAGTTCAGGTATTAGAGACAGCAGCTGAAGTAACCTTCAAAGAATGGCACCCACCAAATTTAAAAAGTAAAAACTCAAAGAAAGAAAACATCCTGACCTAGACAACATGGATGAAATAATGCTTCTCCATGGCTGTAATGGGAAAGGTACACTTTTTCAGCAGGAAATCAGCAAAGCCCTGAGCCCAAGGAAATGCATTCAGCAGCTTCTCAGCACATTCACCTTCCACATTCATCACTTTCCATGAACTGCATACTCCATCCCATCACAGCTCAAACACTAGAGAAGACCCTGGAGGATGTGGAAGGGGAGGCGAATGTTCTTTCAAAGCATTCATGAAAAATTCTCAGCTCTTGCCGATGATTTAATTACCATATTGTACAATTCTTGTCTATTCACAGTGGTTCTTTTTTCTTTTTAAAAAGATTTTAGCTTTTTAAGCAATTGTCTAAACATGAAATCAAACTCATACTTCAGGAACATTGAACAAAAATACCTCATGTTGACAAGAGGAAAAAAAAAGAAAAAACCTCAGGTAAAATTGAATACTCTGTACTAAATTTTCCAAATTCCAGAAAGCAAATATTAGTGTCTGAAATAACTTCACTGGTTGTGGCACATGCCTTTCATGACAAGATGCTTAAAAGAAATGTTCCGATGGTTGTGTGGCATGTCCTAGAAATGACAACTTGGGAGGGCTGTTACCTTGATAGATAAAAGCCATAGCAGTCAAATGAGACTTCTGTTGAAAAATAATATCTACCTACAGAAGACTCTTTTCTTTTCAAGTTACACAAACATTACGTGTTTTTCTTTTCCTGTAGAGCAGAGGCTCTATTTGACAGCCTGAGACGAAACTGCCATTTTCCACTTTTAATTAGCGTCAAGTCTACAGGCATTTAGCACAGAGAACATACCTTCACTTATTTAAGCAACACATACAGACACAACCAAAGCAGACCCGAACTATGGGCATTTTGAAAATGAATTGGGGGAAAAAAACCAAAGCAAAGATGGGACACAATTCTTTGTTTTGCTGATCCAAAGAAAGGAGTTCTCCCCCTGGGTGGCATTGCATAGCACCCCAACCACTGCTGCAGGAGACTCAGAGTGTGGAGGGGGAGGTCAAGAAGGAAAGCAGGAGGGCAGAGGGCTGGGGTCTGAGCTGTGTGGCAGGACACCAGTAGCACTGGCTCCCCCACCCCCGAGCATCTGCTCAAATCAGCACATCCCCCTTGGCTAACATCTGGCAAGAACCACCAGCTCCCAAGCCAACGTGTAGTAGAGAGCCAAAGTGGACTGTGAGCAAGCCAGCAGACTGAAGATATCTCAATGCCTCACTGAGAGGAACTCTAGAGAGGCAACCGAAAGTTGTGCAGTCCTGGAAGACGACATCTTGACTTGTGCACAACTTGAAAAGGACAAAGTTAAAGTGTCCAGAGATCAGGGGAACAGTGGTGTATCATCAGGGCAGCACACTGGGATCCTGTTTTACAGGAGGGCTCAAAACAAGAAAATGTTTAAAAAACAAAAAAACAACCCGACCTTGATTTTTGGCCCAGTGCTGACAGGAAAGAGCAAAGGAAAAGAAGAAAACTATGCAAATGCAATTAACTAACGAAGTCATATGTTTTATCTTAACAGTGATCTTAGCATTCCAAAGATACACACAGCATTAGAAGCCCAGACCACAGCGAAGTTTAGAGCTGATGAGTTAGAAAAGTCAAGGCCAGGGGCAGGCAGTGTGGAAGGGAGGCCAACGATTTCGGCAACCCTGAGCCACTGCTGCAAACAGGTCAAAGAACTCAGGAGCCGAAAAGGATGCTGCAAGCTTGTCTTTATGATGGAAAACACAGCCCGAAGCTTCGCTTTGGGAATTCATGCCACAGGAAAGCACTGAGTATCATAGCCTGCTCCTCACTCTCCACTGTGCTTTCAGAAGCAAGAAGCTGACAAGAAATCATCCAGTAGACTTTCAAAACTGTGTTTCGGAGAGAGCTTGGCGAGGCTGACCCACTTGCATACAGGCAACTCATAATCTCTGGAAGCGCAGCAGATCGTCATATAATGGAGACTGTGTTCCAATGTCTTCATTCTTCAAACTGGGCGTTTACTTTTATTTTTTATTTTTTTGAGTTGGAGTCTCACTCGGTCGCCCAGACTGGAGTGCAGTGGCCACTCCCGGCCACTGCAGCCTCGACCTGCTGGGCTCCGGCCATCCTTCCGCCTCAGCCTTCTGAGTAGCCGGAATTACAGGCATGCGCTGCCACGCCCGGCTGATTTTTTGATTTATGGTAGAGATGAGGTCTCGCCAAGTTGCCCAGGCGGGTCTCGAACCCGTGGGCTCAGGTAATTCACTCACCTCAGTATCCCAAAGCGCGGGATTACAGGCTGAGCCACCGAGCCCGG